TGCAGATGGGGCGGCGCAAACGGGTGCTAGATGCGGCGATCGATTCGACTGGGCTTGAAGCAACATGTGCCAGCGTCTACTTCGTGCGACGACGGACAACGAAGGATAGCTCCTGGAAAACGATCGTCTATCAGCGATACCCCAAGCTTAGTCTGGTGAGCGATGTCCGCACGAACTTCATTCTCGCGTATCGCGTTTTCGTTCGTGGCAAGACCGTCGATCGCGGTAAAGCTCGTAAAGCAGACTATCTGCTCTTCTATCAGCCAAATCTTCCCATCGCCGTGGTCGAGTCCAAGGACAACAACCACTCGGTCGGGGACCGATTGCCGAGGCCAAGGCACTGTCGTGTTCGAACCCAGAATGTAGAGACGGGGCGTTCAATTCCTTGCCACACGCCCTATTTCTTCCGACAATACACGCCAACACCTAATCTTCGTGCTGGAAGGACTCGTCTCATGCTGTTCCGTATTGGATTGCTGGTTAGCTTTATTTTCGCATTGGGTTGCACCGATCGGTCCGAGCCGGATCCTGGTCCGGAACCTGTGGTGACCTCGCAAGAGGTTCTGGACGAGGTTGTCGTCGTTGAAGGCAAGCCGAAGATCACGGACGATCAACCGGCCATGGCATGGGTTCGCATGGAATTCGAGGATTTGCCGAAGGTGGAAGTGCCGGAAGCACCGCAGCCGCTGCCGTACTTCTCCGGCGAAGAGCAGCCCGCAGGAACCCAAGTACCGGAGGACGTGCAACTGCTGTTGGAATCGTACGACAAAAAGGATTTCGGCCAAGTCGCCGAACTGGCCCGGACCTATCCGCAGAGAGAAGTTCGCCTGGCCGCGATGAAGCGTTTGGAATTGCTGGTCGAGGATGACAATCACATGATGATTCAGACGCTCCGTGCCGGGCTGCAGGACGACGATTCAGATTTTCGGGCAAAGGTGCTGCTAATCTTTCGCGGAGGTGTTCCTTACTGGGACAAACAAGTGGTCGTGAAAGCCCTGCCGGAACTCGCCGGGCAACTCCGCGATACGAGCCCGCTCCATTCGGATGTGGTCGGAATCATCTTTAAAGAGCTCGGGCCTGTTGCCTTGCCTGCACTGCCACAATTGTGCTGGGCGGCAGGGCATGGCAATTCGTACGCACTGGAAGCGATAGGCGAGATCGGCTCGAAAGCCAGCGTGGCGATCCCCCTGGTGACCGAGCTGACATGGGACGAGAGGAGTTCCCAAGGTGCGGTCGCCCTAGGGAAGCTGCAAGTCGAAGCGGAAGTGCTGAAACTGCTGAAGGACAGCGACGTGCGGACTAAGGGCTTAGGGGCGTCGGCGGCACGCTACATCAAAGCGCCGTCGCGGGAGTTGGTCGTGGAGTTACTTTCGGCAGCGAACGACCCTGCCGCTCCAGTTTGTGCTTATTCGGCCGAGGCACTGGGCAACATTCGTCCGACGACTCCGGAGATCGCTGGGGCACTGTTTGAAGTTCCCAAGCACGAAATTCCCTGGGTCAACCATGCCGTTTACGATGCCATCGCAAAGCTCGATCCGCCAGCGCCGGAAGGCTTGGATTTTCTCAACCGTCGTCTTGCCGAGACGAATGAAGAGGAGAATCGCGAGGCGATTCAAGAGGCGATTACCACGTGGAAAGCCAACAACAAGTCGCCGGTGACGTCGCTGCTGGAAGACGTGGTCGCGGAAGAAGGGGAGGTGAGCGATCCGATCAACGATCAAGCCCAGGAAATCTATGAACCGCTCAAGAATGTTCTTGCCGACAAGTCGCAGCCCAATGCGATTCGTGGTGCGGCCCTCCTGGCATTGGACTCGGTGCATAAGTATCTGGAGGAAGGGCAAGCGGAAAGAAGCGAAGAGATCACCGCGCTGGCTAGAGCGTGCCTGGCGGAGAAGCCGGAGCAGCCATTGTTCGGAGCGATCACCCACGTGCTGTATGGTCATAACAGCAGCGCGGAGGATGCCGATCGACTGCTGGCCGAGGGGGTGGTGACGAAAGGTTTTCTGATTCCGCGGCTGGACGATGTCGCCAAGATCGGCTACCTGAAAATTGAAGAGGGCTTGCCGGCGCTGATTGACCTGATCGAGCAAAAGGAAATGTCGGTCATGCTGGTACTGTTGAGCGAGATCGGCAGTTTTGGCGACAAGGCGGCCGACGCAGTGCCTGGGATCGTGAAGCTCGATATCGATCCGAATGATAAGAAGAACGTTACGCTATTCAAGAATCAACTGATCGCGTTGGGGGAAATCGGGGCTCGGCCTGACTTGAGCATTCCATTTCTGAAGAACCTTCTGGATACGACCGACCCAGCCATGTGGGAACGTGGGGACATCGTCCGAGCACTGGCCCTGGTGGTTGCCAAGAATGACGAAGATCCCAAGTTCGTGCTGGAGCAAGCGGGCTATCTTCTGGACAACCAACTGACCAACCACATGGCGGCTCTTGATGCGCTGAAGACACTCGGTCCCAAGGCAGCGCCGATGGTTTCCAAGATCACGCCATGCTTGGGACAAGTTTCCCTATCGTGGTTTGCCTGCGAAGCGTTGGAAGCAATTGGTCCAGACGCCCAAGAAGCGGAGCCGGCCCTGGTCGAGTTGGTGAGGACGGCCGACAACAAGCATCGCGCGATCCGCGCACTTGGCGCGATTCGCGCTTCGAGTCCTGAGTTCAAGAAATTAGCTACAGAAATGCTGGAAAGTGACGTCGAACATCGCGGGACGATGACCGAGGTGTTGGGAGAACTGGGGACGAGTTCGGCGGAGTTCATTCCTCAAATTCAAAAGCTGCTGGAGAGCCCGAAGACGATGGAACGTGTTTATGCGGCTCGAGCTTTGGGGAACATCGGCGAAGCCGCGAAACCGGACGTCGATCATCTCAAGAAACTAGCCGAAAAGGATCCCGACTACAGCGTCAAGGAGGCGGCCAGGGAAGCGGTGAAGAAGCTTGATCCGCAGCAATCGGACGAATCGTAATCGTTTCAAGACATTGCGATGAGCATTTGGGTAGCTCTTCAATGCGAGAGCGAAGCGATGCT